ATATATCAGTGGTCTGGCAGCTTTTCTTCCCTGCTTTTCCTCTCTGTCCTTTTACTTTACCTACTTTACTTTTCTGTGCTTATGTCACATCCCTATTGTGTCTGTAGATAACTACATAAACAAGCAAGTACGACACCTCACTCCTGATAACAGCCACTCCCCTCTCTGTAACTGTATTCCAGGACCGTGTCGATGAGTATGACTACTCCAAGCCCTTGCAGGGTCAGGAGAAGAAGCCGTTCGAGCAGCACTGGAGGAAACACACTATGTCCTACGTTGATCCCAAGACCGGCAAGGTACGCCCAGTGTGTCCATTGTGTTCTCTACATTTTAAGGGTAATGGTGTGTGTCTATATTAAACACACCTTTTGCTTTTGTTTAATCACAGGTGACCCTGGAGTACCGCCCAGTTATTGACGTCTCTCTGGATGAGCAGGACTGCGCTCACGTCCCACCTGCCATCCGCTCTTACTAAGAGATCTCCTCTTCCTCCCCTGGTCCCTTCCCTTCACCCTCCCTCACCTCATCTCCACTCCACCTTCTCAATGATTGAATTTATTATCTACTATTTAACGAGATACATTTTCTGTAAAGGAGATGATGAAGTTTTGCTTTCGGTTGCACATTTGTATTCATTAAGAAATGGTTAAATACACAACTGTCTTGTCGACTTCATCCCTCTGTGTCACCTTCCTGGTTCCTCTCCTTTTTTTGTCTTGATTGATCTGTGTGTGCAGCAGGTAATATCAATGTGCTATTGTGATCTCCCACGCTGTTTGAGCTTGTTGTATATAAATATATCTTGAAAAACAAGACAAGTGAGGAAATGTGGATTTTCAGCTTCCAGCTGATGAGCAAAGTAAAATATAAAAAAGGAATAGTCAACGTGTTACAACACTTATGCTTGACTTTTTGTGACAACACTATAGTTTCATTTCATGGTCTTGCATTGCATTAAAGATTTATGCAGAGTGAGAGGTGGTTAGAGGAACACAAATGGAGCTGCGCGAATCTGAGAAACCTTTAGATTTAGAGCTCCCTGAAGTGAGGAGATGATGGAAATGATTGTGATGTGAGATTCAACTTAGACAGTTACACCTCAGAGGAAGTGTTGAGTTTGTAAATATTGCATAAATGTACAATAAACATGCTGACTTATACTGTATGTACTTGTTAAAGTATGAAGTAGTCTTTTCTCACTCACTATGGCCTTCGGTTTTTGATATTTTTGCGGTCTCTGTGGTAAAATACATATAACTCGTGCTCAGTAGATAATCAGCTTTAAGTATATCAATATATTCCTGTAAACCAAATTAAACAGCTTGACTCTTTTTCGTCATGTGGTGTTGGAAAACAATGACTTCTCGATAATTTTTTGTTGTGTTATCATCTCTTGAGGATAAATTCCGGTGAGGGTTCGTGAAGTGCACAGAGCAGTTTTAGCTATTGGGCCTTTCAGATAGTAAGTGATTTGTGGTCTCTCATAAGTTATTAATTATTCCAGACATCAGCGTCAGCTCTAAGTGCTTGCAAAGAAGATGGCATTCGAGTGGATTCTACTGAAACAAAGTCGCTTGTGACGTCAACTTTACGGGTGATTCCCCCACCGACTGGAATAAACTTCCTGCGTCTTGACCACTTATTTAACAATTTAACAAATTCACAAGCACCTGTTTCTTGTACTGAATTTCTCAAATGGTAACTTAATTTATTTGACCATTTAAAAAAATAAGGGAGTTAATTTTTCTTCTGGTTTTTGCCATTTGTATGTATTTTTTATGTTCAATAAAGTTTAGACTGCATAGATATGAAATCTCCTGGTTTGTCTTCATCTGATGTGCAAGGGGTGGACACACTAACATGAATACCTACATACTTAAATTCTATGAAATTAAAAAGATATACAGTAGATGTCATGTATTTAACATTGAGTTTTGCACAGAACATTTCAGAGGTATGACACATTTAACTTAAAGGGTTTGCAGCTTTTATTGTATACAGTTGCCTGCTTGTCCACTGGGGGCAGCAGAGGAACATTGTTGAGGCAGGGGAACTACTGTGTGTGTGTGTGTGTGTGTGTGTGAGTGTGTTTGTATGGGTGGGTGTTTTCCTGTAATTATTCCCAGTTACAGGAAGTACTACAGAAGACGTCAATAATCATTGGACAAACACTAAAGTAACCTGAGTCTGATCCTCATCCCGGTGCCACGCAACCAAAAGGTCAGCTCACACTTGTTGGCACAAGAGAAAGGACTGTCGGGGGAAATAAAGAGAAAACCAATCGTTATGCCACACCCTCTGTTCAACCACGTGTCTCGAGTTCACTTTCACTGCCACACCTGTGAAAAGGTTAAGAAGATAAAAACCGAGTATATATACTGTGTGTATATATATATATATAATTATAATAACATTTATCATGACACGTAACCCACTGTGACTTTCAGCACTGCACTTGTAAGAATGCAAAACCTACTTGATGAATGTTGACAATGGATTACTGGTAAATTCCAACATCCGGCATGTTGTCATTTCTCTTCGTGAAGCCGTTCACATCAGAAAGAGGCAGGGTCTTCTGCACACTCCGGATCACTTAGGGCTGAAAATCAGATAATGGCTGTTATTCCTGGGATCGGGACGATGTGGGCCTGCGAGAGCGTCATAAATTACAAGTGCACTTAACAAGTGCACTTAAACTAAAGCACTGAGCCAGAGAAAAAAGAAGGAACAGTTCTTCCACAGCAGCAGACTAAAGCAATGTATCATGACATTTACAGCCTGAGCTAATTTGCAGGGCTTATCCCGAGATGGGCTTTAAAACAGATATATACACTGCCATAAAAACACCTGTAGGCAACTACACAGGCACATCTTAGAAAACACAAAGTTAGGCCATATATGCAAAAATCAAAATATCTGTTATTATTCATTGATACAAGCAACAATAAGTCAATACATTAATGTGCGTCATCATTTTAATGAATCCAGGGCAGACACTTGAAGGTGTTTGAGCATCAGTAGGCCAGATACTCATCTACCATCACTCACAAAAAGCTCCTTCAACCATTTACTGCAAAAACAGTTGTGACTTCAAAACATTAGATCATTGCTGAACACATGACACCTCATATAGTCCCACTTTCATTCAGTTGTGTTTATTTCAGCAGAGAAAAGCTGTAAAACTGAGATCTTACACAATTAGAGGAACGAGTACATTACTTTTCTGTAGTTATTTGTCAGGTGGTAACAATGTGGCTTGTTTTAGTGATAATGGTACTGGACTTTCCTCCTCAGACCAGTGACCTGTCACTATCACCCCCCCACACACACCTACCATCCCTGATCCCCATTTTTGTTGTGTTATTCGTTTGTCTCTGTGATTTATGTCGAACAACAAATCTTTAAAAAAATAAGCAGATTAAGCTGGAGTGATGTTGAGAACTGTTCCGACCACAGCGAACTTCTGGGTGTCAGCAAAACATTCGCTTTTAACCCCTTCCGGTGCCCTTGTTATCATGGTTATCATCACTCCTTGCAGGAGTGAGTAATAGTGCACACAACATAGTGCAAATCAAATACGGTGTAAACCACATCAACAGTCTTTGGTGAATTACAATATGTCTATCACCTCTGTCCAGTACAAAAACATGATTAATGGGGAACCAGTGGGCTAATAAAGTTATATATTTGGCAAAGTGTGTAACAGCGCTGAACAAGACGATGGATGATGTGGCTCTATAGAATACTGTGGAGGATTAGGGAAGCTTTAGGAGAAAGATAATGGTGCCATTATTCTGTGTGAGTGTGTTTTTCTTCCAAATTCTTGCAGGGCATCCAATTGTGTCTGTGGCATCAGTGCAGGTCAGAGCACTTCACCGGTATGTGTGTGTCGGAGATCAAATGTCACGTCAGGCTTTGCAAAGGGAAATCCTAGAGATAGATTCGGCACAATGAGAATGAAGGCTGTGATAGGAAAGGCTGAAATTACAATGTAACATGAAGACGAGGAGGGAGAACAGGTGTGCCGGGAAAAGGAGTGAGCAGGATGAGGGGGAAAGAAGAGGTGATTAAAATAGAAAGTAAAGGGTGAGAGTGTGAGAATGGGAGAGCATGAAGCCAAGACTAACACTTGCCGGAAGCATTTCAAGTTACTCCCTAACCTCTAATTGTATTTCTCTAGGGCCTGTTCTATACAGGAAGTGATGTGAGCCTGTTTTCTGACACACACGTCACAATGTGGCTCTCACTTTTCTGTTCAACCTGCAGACCTTGTGGCCCTTTTCATAATATTGTATTTAACACATCTGCACTGCTTTTATTTCATTGTTCCAGCTCTAGGAATTCATATGTCGAGAAATACCCTCGAGTCAGTCAATGTAAGTGCAATGCAGGCAGTGATGGACAAGACAGGGTTATAGATAAAAGACGTAGACAAACACACAGGTAAAGGTGGTAGAGGGTGTGGGAGGTCGGGGTACACCCTGGACAGGTCACCATCATATCACAGGGCTAACATAACATGATGGCTGTGGGTAAAGAGTTGGAGAGGATCGCCAACTAAACAGAGGGTCACTGGTTCAAACCCTGGCTCCTCCAGTCTGTATTCTGAAGGGTCCTCGGGCAAGTTTCTGAACCCCAAAATTGCAACCCATTGTGGATACAAAGATAAATGCACATTTATTTTTCCTCTATTAAGGCGACGTAAAACATTCAGTGGCTTATGAAAGACGATACAGAAGCACTAAAAATTCAAATTCACACAACGTATAGGGCAGCAGCATTAGTATAGTAATAGTAGTATAGCAGTTGCCCAGACTATTTGAAGACAGTACATTTTACTTCTAGTATAAGACAGACCAGGATTTATAGGAACATTTTATCTGTTCTAAAATTCCCAGCAGCAGCAGCATCATACATATTTATATGTATTGTGACAAACCTTATTAGGTTATGGCACTGCTCAGTTAAAAATCCTCCCAACAGACCAGACAGCACAAGTGTTTTTTTCTCTCAGCATACTTTTATTTATAAAGAAATCTGGTACAAAGTAAAATCTGTTTTTCAGCTATGGTTAAGAAAAGCACATACAGACATTACTTGACAAAATAACACCCAGACCAGCGACACATGACACACCACAACTTTCAAAACACAGAACCAAAGCCACTGATTTATAAACTGGCCATGTCCGCCACGTTGGCTACAATGTTGCTAAGTTTCTGCTGATATTGAGAGAAGCTGTGAGTTCCTGTTCAGCTTGAATAAAAAGGAGACACTATTTCCCTCACTTGTTCAGGGTGAGCTTCAAACCCCTCCTTCTTTGAGTTATTTTTTAAGGCATTACTTTGTTAGTATTTTTTGCGATTCTAGCATAGCACACTCTTAAGCGGGTTAGAGGGTGTTTGTGCAAATTTACAGCCTACAAATCAGTTGAAAAGGCAACAGTGTTCCTCCCATCACACAACCAGACAAATCTCTTTAAAACTGCACAACCAACAAACTTTTGCAATTTGAACACAAAATGTAAAACTTTCTTTGAATAAAACATGAAGTCTGAATGTGTGGCAGAGCAACATTGACCCGAGACGTAACTCTTAAGGCATCAAAGTAGGAAAATGTTTGACACAAAAGCATATTTTTTTGATGCAGGATAAGATAAAGAACAAATCACAAACAAAAAGCATTGTTGATGGAATATGAATACAGCAAAGTAGAAGTGGTTACTCTACCCTACTGTTGGAAAGTAATTTATAGAAAGTAAAAAGCTTCTGAGGTCTCTTTAAAACAAGTGGCCAATTACTTAAAAAAACATCAGAAACTTGTCAAAGGCCTTTTAGCAAAAAAGGTGATTTCCTGTTAACAAATAAAAACTCTTTCTGAAAGTCACGTTCCTGGTGTGGAATGATTATGGGGACAAGAAATATGGGGAAGATTTTGAAACTGATTTATTGGGTGAGGACAGTTGCCACAACCACCATGTAGACGATGACGAGGATAAGGACTGCAAGACCGATTCCCAGGCCCACATGGTTCAGTGTCCGGGCCATCCTGCTGCTCCGCTCCGCTGCCATCTGATCGCCGGCATGGTTGGCTTCACGAGTCTGAGGGTGAGAGCCAATATTTAAAAACATAAATGAGTGAGGTAGATAAACTATATGTATATGTATTTATGTATGAATATATATGTATATATATATATGTATATATGTATATATATGTATATATATATATATATATATATATATATATATATATATATGTATATACACACAGTATAGTGTTCTCATGTTCTCAGATGTGAAGGTTAAATTGCTGTACCACAAATGTACATTACATCCTCAAAGTATGTATGATATGGCCTCGTCTGCAGAAGAACGTCATATGATTCACTGTTTATATCAAAATATTGATATAAACAGGATATTGTCCTAATCCATTCTCCTCTACAATTTAAATGTGACTCAATTTTATTAATTTTTTCAAGCATCACAAAAGAAATCCTGCCTGTTTGGTGTATGCCAGTTTTGCAACCTCTTAAACATTAATAATGTTAATGAAAGCTACAGCCAGAACAGAACAGTTAGCTTAGCTCAGCATTAAGATCAGACGGAGCAGGAGGAGGAAGATACGTCTATCCCTCTTTATATACAGTCTATGGTCTAACCAGGCTCTGCCCACAGGTAACAAGTCTCTCTCAGGATGTTGCACAAATGAAACAATGATTAGTTAATTGTTGAGCTTTAATGGTGCTGACAGGCAGGTTTTGTTTCCTTTGGACAGAGATGTTATTGTTTACCAGTTCCAGTGTGTCTGCTAAATTAAGCTAATGGTCTCCATTACTTTACATGGACACTACATTTATTTTCTGGAGACCTACTGTGACCATCACTGACAAATTTGTCTTCCATTTAAATTAATTTAAATAGTCTCTTGTGCGCTATGAAGTCTAATCTCCATAATCTAATAGTGTTCCTTGATACCTCGCCCGCACAGACACAATAATGTATAGTAATTTCCTCAAATTTATCTTAGTACATTAAATATAATTCAAATATAATTCGCTTAAAAATTGAAATTAAAAGCTCATAGTCATCAGGGATGAGAGCATCTTTGAAGGATGAAGCATGGCAAAGGCCGATTGTATATCATCATTTTCATAACATCAAAGTGGATCATGAATCTGTCACTTCACTCCTTCTCATTATCATAAAACCACACGGTTGCTTTCAGAAAATGAAAAACCTTAATGGTTTAGTTTGTTTCAAAAAAATGAGATGGAGCAATCCAATTCATCCTTGGGAGAAAGAGGGATTCTTTTCAGAAACCTGGAAAGACGCTTTCTCCAGTCAGTGCAGTCTGTCACATCAGTATAATGTTTATTGTCTTAAAGTATTACAATTCCCTCACTGTTTAAAGGTACAGTGTGTAGCATTTTGTGATATCAAGTGTTGAAATTGCATGTTGCAGCTGAACACCCCTCACCTCACCCTCTCCTTCCAAACATGAAAAAGAACCTGTGGTAGCTTCAGTTGTCATAAAAACTCAAAAGGTGTTTAGTTTGTCCAGTCTGGACTAATGTAAAAAACATGGCGGCCTCCGTAGAGAGGGTCCCCTCGATGTAAATAAGTAATAGAATATTTAAATAGAAAGTATTTAAATATAAAGGGCATTTTCTGGGGTAAAAAAAACAACAATTCATACAATTCAGATGAAATGAACTAGTGAAAACATCATGAGAATTATTCTACATTAAATTTCTGCCAATAGTTCCCTTTCACCTAAATCTTACACACTGGACCTTTAATATATTTTCCATACTGAAGCTGTGTGAAAGTTACACCTAGCTAGTTCTGAATCTTGAGGAACAACAAAAGTTGGCGATTGATTAAATACAATTATGTTTATATATACCTATATGTCTACACTATATATATATATGCAATGTGGTTAAATCTACTTCCACAGCTTTTTTTTTTACTCTAACAAATGTTCACTTCTTACTATTACTGTATTATACATAGCATCAAATGTAACCGTACAACACCCGCCCCTCAAACTTGGCCAATTGGATGCAATGCTCCCTTTTATCCTCCTCCTAGATTTTTATCAGGTTTTCAATCTCATAACCATTAACTCAGGTGAAACAAATGGTCAACAAATGTGTTGGGTGTCTTGGACCTCCCTTGCTGCTCAGAGGTCAGCTGCTGGGCAGCAGAGAATTCAGTGCCTTGAGGACTCAAAACACATTATGTGCTGTATATTACAGCTAAACACAGTGTGGATGTACAGTGTAAGGTTGTTGGAAATTCCTTCAACGCTTCTGATAAACTGTCAAAAGCTCCATTCATACTGCAAGGGAAGGACTTGAATTTCATAATAGTGCAACATCTTTCTGTTTTTGCTGGGACTTACTGTGCACCGGTAACATGTTCTGCTTTTAAAGAGGAACTAAAGGAATCATAAGTGAAAACTCTTAGTGACTGACATCTTTACTGCAGAATTAAACAAAGAAACTGTTTGTATTTCGCATGATACGATTGCCAACAAAATAAAGGTTACTCAAAGAATGTCTGAGTTTGCCTGTGTGTGTTGATAATATCATATGACACAAATCACAAGGTTAGGGAGATAAAGGGATGTGAAAATGTTTATTTTAAACTTTGCACAAAGGCCAGAAGCTGCATGTGAGAAAACACCAGCAGCTAACCACACAGACACCAAGAGAAAACCCCGGTATATTTCTTAAGGTTTCTTTTTAAATCTTTTGACTTGTTTAAATATAAAGGCTCCTCAGATGCTGCTGCAGAATCACAGCATTCTCCTTATATCATGCCAGCCTGTCTCTTTATATTATACAGAATGAAACACGGGCGCTTCAATTGCATTTGATGCAATGTGGCTCAGATGTCTCGCTGCTGCTCAAATGGCTGCCTGTCTATCTTCATGTCAGTTAGTGCGTCTGTCTGTGGTTCTCTCCCTGGTCTCCTTCCTTTTCACTCTGGTGAGCGATGGCTACAAGTGAGCAGGGGCCTGATATTTGTGAGAAAATCACAGAGAGAGCAGAAGTGAAAAGAGCTGATGAAAGAGAGGATGGAACAGATTTCAAAAGCCTGCGGAGCCTTTCTCACACGCAGTGAGACCCCCCGAGTCGAGCCTGTTGGTTTGACATGGTAAAATTAAAGGCTTGACATCCACGCTTCTCCTTCTTTGACTTGATTTGACTTTACAAAATCCAGAATTGATTCATCTTAGAATTTTCCCTTTACATCTTTACGATTCAGGTACATCAAAAAAAAAAAAAAAAAAACAGCTGCCTTAAGCGCTTCTCAGAAAACATCCTTGGAATTTAGGTTGTGTGAGCCACACTGAAGCCACAATTGAATATAAAATCGATGTGATTCCTGATATCCACAGACAGCTGCTAGCTAGCTTTAGTTCCCTGGCAAGGACAGAATAAATAGCCAATTACATACCCACTTCTTACATACTTCCACAGTCTGACATCTGGGAGCCAGAGACAATATCTCTGCAACAAACAAACCACTCAGATCAGTGAGCAGAGTATTTCTTCAGTCTGTCCCTGTCATAGATGAGATCTCTGGATTCACTAGCCAGAGTTAGTTTAACCACAGCTCCACAAAGACTTTAACTATCTCAGTGAATCAACGTGGCTCATTGGTCATTGGTCGACCTTGAAGGTGGTCTAGTAGCCTGGAACCTACGACCATGTTTTTCAAAAGGACCCTATCTAATCCAGACTAGTGCAGGAGGTTGTTTCTTGACTTAATTTAAGAGGATAGGTGGTGTGAAAGAAAAATGCAGGATTTTTGTTCACTTGAGCGTGGATAAACTTCGCTTCCTCTGGACTTATTTCTAACGTGTTTGTAATTTGGGAAATTCCTCTAGAATTTAGTTTAGCAGTGGAGGCAGGGGCAGGCCAGCCATAAATTCTAGAGGGAATCAAACACAAAGCAATCCTTTTTACTACTTTAATGGTCCTAATAACGTCTGATGAGTGTTGTTGTTTATTGTTGTGAAGTAAGCGCAGGCCGACGCAGAGTGGGGAGGGAGTGTATGTAGCAGAAACCTTGTTTATTGGTTTGTTGTGATTTTTCCCCCCGCTATATCCGCACAATTAAATGTTGCCAGTGGAAACACTGATATCACTAGGTCTAAGGGACGCAGTTGCACAATCTCAGTGCAGTTTATATTATTTGCATCAGGCTCCGGTTCACACACCAAGACTATTTGCCTGTTGGGTTTGAGTCAAGCTGTTATTTTTATCTCAAGCCTCTAACACCAACTGTGTAACTTTCCAAGTTTGCTTCACCATTTTAAAACATTACCAGGCACTCTTGCAAGCAACAACTACATAAAATGCAAAGACAATTTCGGCATCAAATTTAAAATAAAAAGCATGGAAAATATTTGTTTTTTCTGTCAAATTTCACCCCATCACTTTGACCACTTGCTGGAACATTACTTGACACCTCGACCAAACATTCCCTCATTCCTAACCTTCACCCCCATGGTGAAATTCAGCTCGGAGCCTGTATCTGATTGGCTGACGGCAAAGTCAACACTGGAAATGCATTCCACTCTGTGACCCTGCTCTGTGTACCTCTGGTTACAAACATGTACCTATTTTCACACTGAAGACTTTTACACACAGAGTTCTGTGGATAGTTTTTTAGTAACCGGGGTCTATGTGGCTGTTGTTTGTGCATGGCTAAACAGACGTAGCCTCAAGACTGCAGCCAGTTTCAGGGGACTTCTGCCTTTATGAAGTAGGCTCTATGTGATTTTTAACTTCAAAGGGCCTTTAAAATGCCGCATCTGGGATTTATTAAAGTCTGACTTTCTGGGGCGAGGCCCACCCAGGGGTATAAGGGTACAAGCTTGTGCCTGTTGCTTGCCCCAAGAGAAAAAAACACTCTTCTGAGACACTGGATATGCTGATACACTGACCAGCACAGATCGGACGTCACAGTGATTCATCGCGAGGTAGCTAGAGTGGATTGCCTGCGTCAATTTAAAGCTGCACTGATCAATACACTCTTTGATGTAGATGTATGTATGCTGCCCACGCCACCTCTGTGGG